CAAAATTTAAGTTCCTATAATATAAACAAGCGATAGGCAAAGTTTCACAAAAATCTCAGTGCAGGTTCTATTTCATCGGAATGACCTTAAGGAGAGCTTTTGTTCGAGAGTGAAGCGTGCAGGTTAATTTTGTAAGCTCTGTTGCTTGGAGAAATTGGAAAACCTGTACATAAAGGTTGTCAATTTTAATTTATATAATATATGTCAAGTTATTCTCACATTTTGATTGGTTCTTGCTTATCATCTATTGGAGCACAGACGCATAGAAGACGTCATTAACAATTGTTTTCGTTTCTTTATTACATAAAACAAATAGATTCCATGTTGCGGTGCGTCTGTTCAGTAACAGATCACAGAGGACGTCAAAATGTGGTAAGAACATCAATGACACACTCGGCTATCGCCTCGTGTCCTAGTTTTTGCTCTTAAAATGCCACATTTTGACGTCATCTGTGATCTATTACTAAACGGACGTACGACAACATGGAATGTATTTGTTAATATTCCATTCATTGTCAACCATCAATTATTCAACTTCTACAGGTCGATGTCCAGTTCAACGAATGTCAAAATGGATGCTGCGGAACACAACCTTGCCTTCATGGAGGAACGTGTCACGAGACCTGTGACGTAACGAAGGAACGATTTACTTGCTCTTGCAAGCCTGGGTTCATAGGAAAATATTGTGAAACTTGTAAGGGAACAGTTTTAATTCTAAATGACTTTGAAAAGATGAGGTGACAGCAAACAAGAGAGGATGTTTTGGATCATTCTCTCTTGGTTTTGAAAGTAATCTTTTGGTTTTCGTTTGATGTTGTTTAATCAATTACAACGACCCATGATTTCGTCTACCCATCGCCGGATCCGTTGCATGTCATCGTCTGTCGGTCCGGTGGGGGTGGGGGGTGGTGGCAGAGCTGGGTGAGGGATGGGGTAGGGGGAGTCGGAGGTTAAAGACCTGAAACGATATACGATCAAAGATCTTTATTCGCGAAGTCAAATCTGACGATCTCTTGCCCTCAGTCAATCGCTGTAAATTGTAAGCTCTATGTACGCAACATGACCAATTCATCATCATTTCATTTAAAATTTAATCATCATTTCCTTCAAGGTGGAAAAGCTTGTTGAATCAGTGATAGATGCTGGCTGAGAATTCCAAACTTTAGGACCTTGATAGACTATCGTAAACTGCTTAAGATTTATGTGACAGTAGTGCAATCGATAACGTCTTGCTGTTCCCGTGCCATAATTAGCAATGCACTTGAATATTTGTTGCAATTAACAAGTCATATGTCATGTCATAGAACAGTTCCTTAAACAGTTCCAGTAACTTTGAGTCCACTTCACCAAAAACGCAGTATGAAGTTTACCCTTGACTTATTTCGACTAATGCTAAATATATAGTTTTAAGTTTTTTCGCACTGTATACAATCACGTTTTATTCAGATTCAAATTTAATATAATAATAAAGCATTGGTCATTTCCGATACGATAATACGTTCTTCGGTCCTTGGAAACCCAATATTCTCCAGAGAAAAAAATATATATTTATCCAGATTGACGAGTCTAGAGTAATTACAAGTGATCTTCTATGCTGTACGCTTTGTATTGCATACGAATCACGCGGGAAACTTTTGAACTTAAGAATAAATTTGAATGAGAACTATCCTTGCGACCCATTTTGATCTGGTTCAGTGTTGCTAAGATCAAGCATTAGGCTAGCTAATCTTTAACTTAAAAAAAGAATGAGCTTTGGGTCACTCTGTGATGCCCGCTTTCTGCAACTAAACATATTCGTTCTCTAGTATATATTTTTGTGGCGTCCGGCAAGAATGACTGCCATTGTAAGGTTAAGGAGACCTTGTTTATTCAGGAGTTACAGCCAGCATTGAATGCCAATGTCAGCAGTGAAAAGCNAACCAACAGGCTTGTAACGGAGGCCACCTCAGTCATTGAAGCAGTGGTATAAATTGTAAGCTCTATGTACGCAACATGACCAATTCATCATCATTTCATTTAAAATTTAATCATCATTTCCTTCAAGGTGGAAAAGCTTGTTGAATCAGTGATAGATGCTGGCTGAGAATTCCAAACTTTAGGACCTTGATAGACTATCGTAAACTGCTTAAGATTTATGTGACAGTAGTGCAATCGATAACGTCTTGCTGTTCCCGTGCCATAATTAGCAATGCACTTGAATATTTGTTGCAATTAACAAGTCATATGTCATGTCATAGAACAGTTCCTTAAACAGTTCCAGTAACTTTGAGTCCACTTCACCAAAAACGCAGTATGAAGTTTACCCTTGACTTATTTCGACTAATGCTAAATATATAGTTTTAAGTTTTTTCGCACTGTATACAATCACGTTTGATTCAGATTCAAATTTAATATAATAATAAAGCATTGGTCATTTCCGATACGATAAAACGTTCTTTTGTCCTTGGAAACCCAATATTCTCCAGAGAAAAAAAATATATTTATTCATATTTATTGACGAGTCTAGAGTAATTACAAGTGATCTTCTACGCTCTACGCTTTGTATTGCATGCGAATCACGCGGGAAACTTTTGAACTTAAGAATAAATTTGAATGAGAACTATCCTTGCGACCCATTTTTATCTGGTTCAGTGTTGTTAAGAGCAAGCATCAGGCTAGCTAATCTTTAATTAAAAAAAAGAATGAACTTTGCGTCATTCTGTGATGCGCGCTTTCTGTAACTAAACATATTCGTTCTCTAGTATATATTTTTGTGACGTCCGGCAAGAATGACTACCATTGCAAGGTTAAGGAGACCTTGTTTATTCAGGAGTTACAGCCAGCATTGAATGCCAATGTCAGCAGTGAAAAGCTTTTACTTTATCAGGAAAGTATTTCCATTGTGTCACTTTACAAACAGGTTCCCTTTGAAACGTCTTAAACTTCTACTGCAGATGTTTTCTGTCTAGGTTCCAGACCCCATTGATACAGTATAAATAGCTCTTAAAAATATACTTTTGAAAATGTATGTTGACTAGCATACGAAACGTCAAGTTCATAAAATGCATGTTTTTAAAACGTTTATCACCGCTGTTTGTGTTATACCTTTGATTCTATTCATCATTGCTTCTTTCAACTTAGCAAGAGTAAACTGCCAGGATTTTAAAAGAACTAATTCGGGAGTAAGTTTTGCTCAGTTTGTGGGCAATCCATTTACAAGACTAAACGCTTCATTGCTAGCAACTTTGCAGGTTTCGAGTCTTGGTGAATGTACCTTCGAATGCATCAACCATCACGACTGTTTCTCTGTTAACTTCGGTAACCGAGTCCATGTAACACATACATGTGAGTTGATAAACAGCGACAAGTTTAACCAGCCAGACAGGTTTGCTATCAGCCAGGAGTTTTACCATTACAATATTAAGGTGGGTTGAGATAGCTTCAAGTTCCTCCTGTTATTCTTAAGAGTTCCGAGTGAATAAACGTTATGTCATGCTTTGGGGAATTATCGTAACTAATTATTGCAACGATGATAGCGGAACTTCATTAATAAACTTTGCAATCCGGTGGTTTTGAAAGCTAACTACATGCTTCCATTTATGAGTAATATCTTTAATTTTCTCAACAGTGATCAACACCAGTATTCTGTAAATTTGATGTTTATTGTAAAATTCGTTCGTGGCGCATGGGTTGTTTTCATAACATTTATAAAAAAAGTATATTAATCGGAGAAACTAATAGAGTTTTGGCAACTTTATTCTTTCTGACAGTTTTTTTTAAACAATATTCGTGCGGGTTTAACGTTTCTTAATACTGAGCCGGACATTATATCCTAGAGAAATAAAGAACTCTTGAACCTAAATCAGCTAAATCTACTCTCATTTGAGCGACTGCAAACAACAAAGGTTCCACACTATGTGAAAAACCTAGAAAATAGGGATTCCTTCCCATAAAAACCGTCTAAAAATTTATTAAAGGACGTTAAGTACGGTTTTAGAAAAGATCCATCTTGAAAAAAAAAGGCAAAATAGAATCTTGTTTTTACAATTGCGACCTTCAGCAGCCAATATGTTAGTTCGGCTTATTAAAAATTTAGCACTTAGAACTTTAAACTGTCCACCATTTATTTGATAAACGCCAGCAAAGTCAAATTAGTTATTTAGAAATTTATATTTTCCTTTCTTCTGTCCCTTCAGATGGGTTGTGTTTAAAAATGAAATCAAGCACTACTTAATTTAGTTCAAAATAAATCTCCTTGCAAGAACGTTTCTGCTCCAGGCGCTGGGAGAAATTTCGACAAAACCCCCACTAATTTAAATTTATTTATTTAAATAGTGTTGTCTCCCATTTTAATTTAGAACTATAAATTTAACTTGAACACTGATCGGATATAAACAGTAATAATACTGTTAGTGCTTTAGAACTCTAGAAAGAGCTTAAATAAAACAGTCTCAAAGGACATTTGCAGATGGTAGAACCTAAGACGGATAATGTCAAAATAAGCTTTTCAATCTTGAATCTCTTTTTGTTAGCCTTCAAAATTTGCATGCTTTTAAGTAAACAAGTACAGGTAGCCTCAAGCAGCCATCTGTCATGGACAATAACAACTAGCAACTACTTACCCTAACCATAAACAGGGATAGAGGGATTATTTTATTACAAGGATATTAAACACTGACGTCTGAGCGAGCTGTGTAGAAACATGGGGCGATAACGAATTGAAAATGATGATGGTAACGGTTTCCACGCTTAGACTGAGTTATAATTAA